ATTTTTGGTGGACTATAGAGCTAATGTGAGAAACAACAACAACAACAACTCAGCACAATTGTTCCGTTTGGAAACATGCACACGCGCGTACGATTTCCCGTGGACGACTGCTTGCTGCAGTCTAGACTATATGCGAGACGCACGGGTCACCCTGTGAAAGCGAGACCGATCCAGCATGGTTGACATGAATATGCATATGTGCGTGCGTGTGTTGTCTGTTGTGTGTCTCGATTGCGATGTGCCGTGTGTTTTTATTATTAGCATCGACCGCGCTAACCGGCTGACCAATGAAAAGACGTCAGTCTTAGTGCGGTTGAAAACACAAAACACTTCTATCTACCATGAACTGGGACCCCGTGTGTGCGTGCGTGCGTTGTCTGTTGTATCCCAATGGCCATGTGGTATGAGACTACTGCTGTATGTAGCGGCAGCGGTCACGCTTACCAGCCGACCAAGCCGACCAATCAATGTAGTATGAAAAGGTCAGGCTTCAGCCGGATGAGCCGATGAAATACAACGCGAGCACTCTTTCTTCTCTCTATCGACAGGGAGGGTGATCGAGTTGCACCACACAGCAGTGTCCTTCTGCTCGAGTAAGGATAAGACTTGTGTGTGCTTGATTGATGTCAAGGGCGAGTCTGAGTGTGCTGGTCCTGCCTCTCCCCTCCACCCTCGTTGCGGGCGCGAGCTCGCCGCCAGCACAGCGCCACACACTGGCACGCGCTATGCATGTCAACCATGCTGGATCGGTCTCGCTTTCACAGCGTGACCCGTGCGTCTCGCATCTACCATATATGACACAAGATAACACACCCCTTCACCAATTTTTGAAGCTCGATTTCTCAACTGGAGGAACAGTCACAGCGCCGAAAACAGCGGCGTTGGAACCGTCTCGTTAAGAGCTTTCCAAAAATGTATCGTTTCGTTTGTGCAACCTCTTCGTCGTGGAGTAATCGAGCTTTGAAAAATGGTCCAGGGGATGTGTTATCTTGTGTCATATACGGTAGTCTAGACTGCAGCAAGCAGTCGTCCACGGGAAATCGTACGCGCGTGTGCATGTTTCCGAACGGAACAATTGTGTTGGGATACGTTATTGTTGTTGTTGTTTCTCACATTAGCTCTAAAAAAAAAAAGATTGGGAGCCCGTGGTCTCAAAACCCGGCATACACGACCCCACGAAGAA